GAAATTTAAACAGATCAGCAGTTTCTGAAATACTCAGATCAGCCAATGTGGCACCAACACCCACACCATGATCAAAGTGATTTCAATCACCGTCACTGATCGCTATATGCTGAAATGCATGGACTGCTGCCATCTGATTGGCTGATTACATTTTGGATTAAAGAGTAGTTGAACGGGTGTAGTTAACAAAGTGGCCGTAAGTATGTTTACATAGATGCAGTGTTAGGGAGTAACGGCATACATGTACCGGCGTTATGCATTTAAAATACAAAACATGAGTAACTGTATTCCGATATCCATCCATCCATTCGCTTATCCTTTTCAGGGTCGCGGGGGGCGCTGGAGCCTATCCCAGCTGTTATAGGGCGAAAGGTGAGGTACACCCTGGACAGGTCGCCAGTCTGTCGCAGGGCTAACACATAGGGACAGACAACCATTCACACTCACATTCACACCTAGTGGCAATTTGGATTATCCAATTAACCTATCCCCACAAGCTGCATGTCTTTGGACGGTGGGAGGAAGCCGGAGTACCCGGAGAGAACCCACGCAAACACGGTGAGAACATGCAAACTCCACACAGAAAGACCCCGGCCTGATGGTGGAATTGAACTCAGGACTTTCTTGCTGTGAGGCAACAGTGCTAACCACCGTGCCGCCGATAGTTACCGATAATTTGGTAATAATTAGAATACAGTTACTTCTAAATAAATGGATTACACGATGGTGTATATATGATATATATGATATATATCCCGATAATGATATATATGACAAAATAGTGCTTTTTCTGTAAATTCTGTGAATATCGGGCAACTTGACTTTCATGAAGTGTTTTCAGCTGGGTGTCGTGTACCTGGAGTCGAGTATTTTGACCAATGCACTATATATTTTTAGATATATGTTGTAACGGCCGCCATTTTCTTTCTGAGTATTTATTACACGTGGGGGAAAAGCCTGTTCTAACGTATGAGTCTAAGGTTTATTTTGAGCACCTGATGGCTCTTTTTTGCTTCTCATCTATAAACTCTCTCCACAAACTTTCACATGATTCATGCGTAGGTGGTCGAAGAGGTTTGTCGTGTTTGAGTCCGTGGTGGGAACCAGTCTGGGCATAATTTCCATAGTACAGTTTTCTGATCCGTGTCAGACTTTTCATAACCAAACCATGTCCATGCAACAGGGGGAGCCCCTCATTTAGGAATAACATCCTCAATTTGTTTTGACTGGTCCTTCTGTTTGGAGCTACCAGGTTCTGCCTCATCTTTATTGATTGTACAGCCCTAACGTAAGCCTACTACAACTACCTTGTATTAGTTTATGTAGCTATCTAGGTTATGTCCCACTTCGGAATCTTTGATGTACTATTGCTGTGTGACTCACTACTATTACTGAAGGCTGCATTACAACCTGCTACTTGCAAATAATTATGTGCAGTTCTGAAAGCAAACAGAAAGAAAACCTATTACTGATACAGAAATTGTGTTCTATACGAGATCGCTGCAAAAACTGCAGCCTTGCCTAATGTCCACCCTACTGTTACTCATTTTACATCACGATTTAAAAATTTACTTGAGATTGCTTTCAGAACTGCACATGATTGTTTGTAGCTAGCAGGATGTTAATGCTATGAATCAAGTCTAACAGTCTTTAGTCTATGAAATAACTTTAGCTAAAGCCAGCTAACAATGTTAGCTCGGTGGCTAGTAGCCTTCAGTTATAGCAATAATTCACACAGCAATAGTACATTCAAGTAGTTGTAACAAGCAAGTAATAAAGTAATCCGGACCAAAGTATTCAGAATACGTTATTCACATTGAGTAACTTAATGGAATAGTTACAAACTCCATTTGGGCCATGTATTCTGTAATCTTTCGTGGAAAACATTTTAAAAGTAACCTTCTCAACACTGTACAGATATAACTTCATACACTTTACTGTGGTGTATTACTAGTTCAATGCATTTAGATCATGCCCACGTGAATCACACGATGATCCCGCAACCCTCACACCTCCACACCTGTATTGTGTGACTTTATCCCGGGTCTGATATCAAGCAGTCTTAGCTGACGGATCTCTTCCTCATACCGGACGATCGTTTTTTCAAACTCTGAGAAGATTTCTTCTGCAGCAGAAGTTAATCTCTCCTTGATAAACTCTCTAAGATTCGGAACTGAAGACATTATTGCAACAACAACCGACACGGCCAAACCAACATCTTCAAACTTAATTCAGGATCGCGATGGGATCTCTCAATGGCGCCATTGCTGCTATTCTTCTTCTACTGAATTTACGGTAGGCTGGAGGTATAAAAGGCGTAATACTGCCCTCGTCAGGTCTCCTGATTTCTCTAGTACAGACTCTGCTTTGTCTTTCTACAAAGAGTTGACGACATTAAATACAGATGTTTTAACAGTGCTTGAATGTTTTATTTTGTTTACTCTAGCCTCCAACTCAAACTTTGGTTGCTCCTATGCCCACGTCACTTCCTCCACCAATCAGAATGAGGGTCCGGGTTCAGGAAGACGTCTTCCTGATCCCAGTTCCACAAAGGTCGGTGAAAACTTTTAAGTTTGAGCAGTATATAAAAATAAATCCCAATCTGATTGGTATAGTGTTTTTTTGTTGTTGTTGTTGTTGTTGTTTTTAATTTCTGTTTAATCGCCGGTCATTGCTCTGCATCCCAGTGAGGCCAACTCCTGCTCTGTGTCGTGGCTGTGTGAGCAGGCAGCTCAGCGTTACTACCAGAAATGTGGCCTCCTGCCTTGTCTCTCTCTGCAGAAAGAAGGCGCTCTGCTCTCCCCGCAGGACCAGCTACTGGCCGTCCTGCACACAAATGAAGAGGTGAGGTGACACTGAGGAGAGCCAGAAGTGACCATACTTGGACCACAGACAATTTAAAAGATGCTGAAGACTACCATGATTGGTTGATGAAGTCTGATCACGAGTGTTTAAGACAAATGTTGTCACCGTTGCTATCTTGGATTTTTTTTAAAAAAACCCACAGTGACAAGAGGATGGCTATGACTGTGAAACAGCTTGCATGTCAGCCAGTGAGCATACTCCTTTTCTTAGGCAAAGTATGACCCAAATTCATAAAATAGACTTTCTCATAGACACAGAGGTCTTTTCATTAAATCACTGATAGAAGGAATGGAGGTTCTAGGTCCTTCCACAATGACTTCATCTTTCATTACCCAGATGAGGCGTGCAGGTTTTAGACTGTATGATTCTGGTAAGAAGGTGAAGGGCTGGTTATGTTAACAAGCTGCCTGAGAAACTACAATCTGAGAAACTGTAAAGATTAGAACCATTTCTATTACCAGACTGGATGCTGACTTGCTTTTGGAGCCAGCTTCCAGAAGACACTGAAGGAATCACAGTTTTTGGGATTGAATCCTTGGCTTCACTTTCCTGCACCAGTGCAGGATAACTGATGGGTTTGTATTGCAGGTTCTGGCTGAAGTTTGCTCGTGCACTCTCAGAAATAGAGGTATGAGAGAAGAACATTTTTGTACCTATAGGTACATTTTTTTAAAATGTTCCCTTAAAAGTACAATACTGGCCTTTAAAAGTCCAGAAATGCCCTTTAAAGGTACAATTTAAAGTACAAATCTGTACCATTTTGACCTGTACTGCAGTGACAGTGGCAGAATGTGGTAATGGGTCAGCATGGGAAAATCTGGATGGGCCTGGTTAATTGTAAAATTCATATGAGATGTGAGTGTGCTCATAAAAGCTACATGTTATAATCAAATCTGTTGGTCCTCTCCTCTGTACGTAAATTATCCTATGATGCAAAGAATATCTGTAACCTACCTTTGTGTAAGTTATGTTAAATTATATTTAAAAAAAAAACACACAATGACATGCAGGCACAACCAAATGATGTTAAAAAAAACTGGTCCATTTCCATTTTATTAAATCAAATCAAATCACAAATCAAATCACTTTTTATTGTCACATCACATGTGCAGGCACACTGGCACAGCACATGCGAGTGAAATTCTTGTGTGCGAGCCCCACAAGCAACAGAGATGTGCAAACACAACAACACAAACGAGCAAAATACAAGAATGGCCAACCTGAAACTAATAAATATATGTACAATATATAATAGTGTATGCATTTCTGGATGTGTATACTAAATATTTTCCTACGTGTGTGTGTGTGTGTGTGTGTGTGTGTGTGTGTGTGTGTGTATACACATTTTTACAAATTAAATAGTAAAAAAATAAAATAAAATAATAATAATAATAATAATAAAATATATAAAATATACAGAGTTGAATATGTGCAAAACAAGTGGCATTTATATACAGTGTGGAGTGCATAATGTTGAAGTTCCAGTAGTGAAGCTGAGGTGTCTATGACGTGTTCAGCAGTCTGATGGCCTGATGGAAAAAGCTGTCTCTCAGTCTGCTGGTACGGGACCGGATGCTGCAGAACCTCCTTCCTGATGGAAGCAGTCTGAACAGTTTATGGCTGGGGTGACTGGAGTCCTTGATGATCCTCCCCGCTTTCCTCAGGCACCGCTTCCTGTAGATGTCTTGGAGGGAGGGAAGCTCACCTCCAATTATCCGTTCAGAGCACCGCACTACTCGCTGGAGTTCCAGTTATAATTTTTAATGTTTTAAATCTTGGTTGTAGCCTTCAAAAACGTGAAATCATATTACTGTTATGTTTGGCCATTTACTTTTTCGCTTTTACTACATCCTAGAATTGTTCATTAATTGGGAGGTTTTTATGGAATTTGCAACATCAAGTTAAACCGAGGTTCTTTGGAAGTTAAAATGTCAAGCAGATGTTTATGTTACGGTGACTACACTTTGTAAGTTACAAATATAGTTCGCCAAGACAGCATAACGGTTTCTAAACAACTGCGCATTAATACCACAATGTTGTATTTCCATGTATCAAGTTCGCAACGCGCATTAATCCCAAAGGCTGAAAAGCCAGCAGCGGTGAGTGCTCCGCCTCCGCGCTGACTAGCGTTGACGCAGAAAATGACTCTCAGGGGGTTATCAATGGAGGAGCTCCTTATAAAGTTGATGGAAGAAGGCATTGATGTGTCAGACGACGAGGCGCAAAGGTTTAGAGGTAAGTCGGGTGTGATTTTGTGTTGTTATAAAAATTACAACGTGTAATTTTACAGTAGAGTTAGCAAAAGTCCGAAGAGCTAGCTTTAACATGGGTGAATGCTAGCAGTTAGCTAAGTTTTAAACAAAGAAAGGTACAAATGTGGACTATTTAGACCAGGGGTGCTCAATACGTCGATCGCAAAGGTAGTATTGGTAGATCGCATGGCATTAAAAAAATAGATGCCAGCCTATCATCCATCCCGTCACTTGATTGATACAGGGAAGCCAGTCAGATGACATCAGATTTTTTCTGACGCTTAGGTCGCTGCGCATGCGCAAACAGCGGCGCGAAGTGTAGTAAAACTGACAAGCTAGTCAGCGAGTTAACTCCAATTTTTAGCTCTCGGTTTTTTCTCTTAAACCTGGCCGTCAGCTATGAGGTGCCGTAAGGGACATTATTACTGAAACGCTCTCACACACACTACTGAAATTTTAGCTCTCACACACACTACTGAAACGCTCTCACACACACTACTGAAACGCTCTCACACACACTACTGAAACGCTCTCACACACACTACTGAAACGCTCTCACACACACTACTGAAACGCTCTCACACACACAACTGAAATTTTAGCTCTCACACACACAACTGAAATTTTAGCTCTCACACACACTACTGAAACGCTCTCACACCACTACTGAAACGCTCTCACACCACTACTGAAACGCTCTCACACACACTACTGAAATTTTAGCTCTCACACACACTACTGAAACGCTCTCACACACACTACTGAAACGCTCTCACACACACCACTGAAACCAGAGGCATTTCTGCTGAACAGGAAGTTGTTTCCTGACAAGGAAACTGATGGAAAAAGTGGTATATTTCAAAACACTACAAGGATTTCTACTCAGCAACCTGCTAGTACAGCAGTCCCCAACCTTTTTTGCGCCACGTAAACAATATAAGAAATAAAAAACGATAAATACCATGAAAACCATAAATAGAAATGTGTTCGAATTTTTGTGGAGGAATAAAACCCATTACATAGAAAGATCTCAGCTTGTGAAGGGATACAATAAAGGTGGTATCAAAACTCCAGAATTGGAATTTATGGTTGGCACCCTTAGAATTAAATGGTTAAAATCTTGTCTGGTTGACGATTCCACCAACAGTCTAAATTTTAGACTGTTGGTGGAATCGTCAACGTCTGTCTTCCCGCCGTATTCCAGTGCTTTATCAATAAATAGTCACTAACCTTGTACAACAATGTAAAAAAATCAATAATTTCTCAAAACATGCTTGTATGTAAATATAGCTATTAACAAAAACGTTTTCTAAGCAAAATTTATCGCATCTAACTTGTTTCCCGCTCAAAGGGATTTTAAACAATGGAAGGTACACATTTGCACCATTCCACCTATTTAGTGGGATTTGGGATTTTCGAATCTGAGAGCTGTAAGCTCTGCGCAGGGACACTGTCTGCAACCCAAGAATTGTTAAGATGATTGGGGAAACAGCTAATGATTTTTTTTTTGTCTCTAAATCTGATTATTATTATTATTTTCTGTACTAGCTGATTAATCAATCTGTTTATTAGCTTTAGAATTTTTTGATCAAGGGTTAAAGTACTTTACATTTATCTCCAGTCTGTGTCTTTAAACATGTCAAAAGTTTAAATCCTCAATGTAAAATGTCATTCTTTTGTCTATTCTGCTCTTTTCATTTCCAGTTGTGTGATGAGGTTGATTTAATGCATCCCTGCCAAGACAACATCTGTCGCCGCTTTAGCAAAAACTTCACTGCTGTTCTTCAAATGACCAAGGATTTGCCACTGAAGAAGGTCTACATGGAGGGAGAATGCACTGGCTGAAGACATTACAGGTGCTAATTTGACCGCATACAAATAGTAAATTTTGTGACAATTCATTTGCTCTCTCTTCCAAAGATAATTGATGTACCATAGTGTCATGTGAAGAGCATGTTAATGGGAATTTGCATGCTATCAAAATCTAATGAAGTGCATTTGCATCTGTATGACCTAGGAATTGACTTCAAGGGGGCACTTCTCTTGCCATCCATCTTCAAGGAGAAGATAGAAGATTTCATCATCCTTGGAGAGGTAAATGCATGATGCAATGCATAGCCTTTGGCCACAAGTTTCATTCTCTGTGTTTTGTTGGCATGGAGCTGAATTCAGCTGCGGTTCAGCATCACAGCTAAGCTAATGTAGGGGAAACACTGCTGTTAATCCACAGTGCTGCTGTGCTCTTGGGTTTTGTCTGGTGTTTATATAGATAGATAAACCTTTATTGTCCCCTTAGGGAAATTCTTCTTCACAGGTACTGTCACTGTCAGGGGTGATTGCTTTTGCCCTTGAATATTATGTCAAACTTTAGCAGCTTATCAAACACTACCACAACAGTCATTGGTCAAGAAGCTTTTTGTTTGGAGTAGGGGCCATGTTTACAGGTTATCAGAATAGACAGTTTTGTTTTGCTGCAAATAAAGAAGGTAATTTGAGGAATCTGTTGAAAATCCACTTGGCACATATTGCTTAAACATACTGTATACTAATGTTTTTCTTCCTCTTCTGCAGAATACTCCCACGAGTCCATACCCAACCATTCGAATGAAGGATAAGAGTTGGACAACTGCCTCTTAAGACAGTTTCGCTGTGTTGTGACAGTTGAAGGAGTGGATGTTTGCTCGTGCCGCTCGCTGGATGAGGCCTACATCTCAGCATTCTCCACCTTCTTCGTGTTCAACATGACCTACCCTGCATACTTCAAGAAAACACTTGTCTTTCTTCAGAACTGCATTGTCAACATAGGAGACCAGGGAGACAAACCCCTGCCAGTAAGTGTCACCAGGGTACTTAACCAACTCTATTAAATATGCCCCCACCCAAGTGTCACTACCTTATTCACTACCCAAGGCTGATTTTGATGTATGGTCCTCTTCGCCCTTTGTGGTGTATGGGATATGAAAGCAAGCATCAATATTTCAAAAATCTAGCGAGTAAATGCAAAAACTTTGTAAACATCACTGCAACTCTTAACAATCGTCATCAAATGAAACAGTGCTGGGAGTTTTCTTCAGATAAGTTGCTTGTTGACTTTGAACATTCACTCAGCACAAGTGTCAGTGTGCCATTTTCATCTCTGCCAGGTGACTTACAGAATGCTCTGGAAATGAACAAAAGTTTTACAGATGTGCATTTTCAGGATAAAGTGCTTCAGTGTGTGTCTGCTATATCTGTCAGCAGTAGGGCTGGGCGATATGACCCAAAATTCATATCTCGATATTTTTTAGCTGGATGGCGATATAAGATATATATCTCAATTTTTTTTTTTTTTAAAGCCATAAGTTAAGAACAAAAAGAGAGTTCTTAGTCACACTGTGTCCCAGATGTCACACGGGCACTTTTATTTACATACAGCGTAGATGTACATGAAGAAATTACTCAAAAATAAATTCTCAGCATTTATTAAATAATCATGGTCCATAAATAAAAGAAAACTATGTTCTTTTTGTGCATAACAAAAAGCTCACAATTGTGCAGTCAAAATGTAAACTAACAGACGCTGAGCATAATAACAAAGAGACAGATTTCACAGCTGCACCACATCTCTGAACAGGTGCCATTTGTGGTCCTTATACACACACAGTACGGTAATATTACGTTGAAGCACAGTATGTATCACTCCGCGAGGCTCCTCCTCGGTAGCCGTAATCATCCGACAATCCATCAAGCGGTGCAGCTCCGTAGCTTAGCAAAGTCATATTAAAACATTTTTTGACAGATTGCTGAGCGCTGTGTACCACATAAAATCGGTTCGCGGTCAGTAAGCACAACCAGAATTCATACATAGGGCGCACTGTCGAGTTTTGAGAAAATGAAAGGATTTTAGGCCGTGCAGCCCGGTTAGCGCGGTTAGCTCGCTAACACGTTGACGCCGTCCAGCCCCACGCACGGGGCGGTCCGCGGTAACTCGCTAACGGAGATTTTCCGCTTTCATCTTGTCATTGCCTGCAGATGAAGCTATGGCGGAGGGGCAGTTGTGTTCAGTGAAGGAGAGGTGAGGCCGAGTAACGCAGCGTAGAGACAAAAGTGGACGAAAGAGAGGCAAACCTGCGGCTCCACAAGTATACTATATCGATATAAACGATATTGTCGCATCTTATATCTCGCATGAAAATATATCGATATTTTTAAAAAACTCGATATATCGCCCAGCCCTAGTCAGCAGTGTCAAATATGAACTTGAGGATGTTTTTGTAGTTGGCCATACACACACTGAAGCCATACCTATATTCCTTAAAATCAAGTATATTTTGAATGTTGATACTTGTTGGGTATTGTGTGGGAAACTGTTACTTCCTTGCACTTATGAATGTCATTTCCATGCTTACCAAGTTCAGTTGACAATGACTGGATCCTGTTCAATCCAGGAAATGAATTAGACTTTCAAGCTCTAGACACGTATTTAGTAGATGATAGGCTGTTTGTGTCCTTGAGGTATTCTGTGTGACGTGATTGCAAGCACATTTTCCATTGTGTTCAGGTGTTTAATGTCTTTATGTGATTGTTTACTTTTTTTTTTTTTTTTTTTTAAATGAATGTATTTTTCTTGACATGTCCTATGGCAATATACGAAAGTAATCAAGGATGTATTTCTGTGGTTGTTTAAATGCTTTGATGTGATTCTATTATCGAGAATAAATGGTTAAATAACCAAATATTTTGGAATATTGGGGGTACATTTTTGTCTCTTTAGGTACGAAATAGGTTGTCGCTGGGGGGGTACCCTCATAGGTACCCTACTGTACCCTTTTCAAGGGAACATTTCTGTACTATAGTTTCAAGGTACATTTATGTCTTAGGAAAGTACATGATTGTACTTCAGATGGTACAACTTCATAAGGTACAAAAATGTCCTTAAAAAAGGAACACCCCCAGCGACAAGCATTTGTACCCTTTTTGGTACACTTTGGTACCCCTATTTCTGAGAGTGTGGGGATCTCCCTCCTCTCCCTGAGCGATACAAGAAGGCCTGTCAAAGTCTGGCAGTGGGTGAGCAACACAGAGGAAATGCATTATAAAACGCACACAAGTGCATTTTTGTATTCTGTTATGAAGTGCCATCTCTTTCTACCTGTAGATGAGAACAAGCGTGTCTCCCGGCTATGAGGTTCGGGACCGGGGTTCCTCCGTGTCAGGACTCCAAGTGTCTCGGTTTGGCCGCCTCTTCCCTCAGCCCGCTCCTCCGTGCCCTAAAACTTCAGGCCAGCCTCACGGAGCTGCGAATTTCTGGAAACCGTATGTCTGACGACCTTCTCCCTGAGCTGATTGCCACAACGCTCACATGCCTCGTCTGCAGCTGCTGGACATTTCTGCCAACTGCATTACAGGGGACGGCCTGGAGAAGGCTGTAAATGCTTTAAAGGGACAGAGTGCACCTGCATTCCCGGTAAGGGCCTCAGCTAGCCAATAGTGGCAGCTCCAGGTTTACCATCTAACCTGTATTTAAGTACCTCTGGTCTTAATAACTACCTTAGATCTTAATAACAAGCTAACCTGATTCGTATCAATGATATCTGTCAGAGAGAATTGGCTCTCGTGATCATTTGCTTTTTCTGCTCGTTTCCACTCAAAGTGCCTGGAGGAGCTGGACCTCAGTATGAACCCACTGGGGGACGGCGTGCCTGAGTCTCTGTCCTGTCTGCTGTCCTGCTACCCTGTGCTAGCCAAGCGGTCTCTGCAGGCCTGCGGCCTCACTGCTCGTTTCCTTCAGCAGCATCGACTGCTGCTAGCCAGCGCGCTCACAGGTGACTCTAACAAGCAGCTGACTGAAGCCTTAAGCTTCACTGAACTCCCACCCATAAGCAAAACTGCAACTAACTTTACATCTTCTGAACGTTCAGGCACAGGCCATTTGAAAGCAGTGTGCCTGTCCCTCAATCCCCTAGGCTCCACCGGCTTTGAGCTGGTGTTAAAAAGACTGCCCCTCCACTGCCTCCCACACGTGGACCTGTCAGCTGTCTGCAGAGGGCCTGCTGATTACCCGGCACTGGAACACCTCACCAAAGTCCTGTCACAGGTGTGCATGCAAAAATCATGCAATGTCATTTATTGTCGAAAGATATAATTGTGCAATCAGGTTAAGACTTTTGTGTTTTTGCAGGACGAGTGCTCTCTGACCCACCTCAGCCTGGCTGCAAATGGGCTGACAGACAGCAGTGTAGCTACCTTGGCGAGGTGTGCGTGTGTGAGAGTCAAGACCTGGACAGTTTGTCAGAGCTGGTCCAGGATATCCGTCTTTGCTCTCAGGCCCTCAACAAGCTGGACCGACAGACCTTGAAGCAGAGCTGGGACAGGACTCAGTCACACGGACACTTTCTCTGCCACCTCTACTTGAGGGTGGCAGGTGTGTTCATAATAAATAATTAATAATGAATTATTAATTTCATAATAATTCATAATAAAAGTGGTCATTTTTATAAACATTTTGTTTAATGAGGCTACACCAAAAAGAAACAAGATAAAAACAAAATAAAGTGACATGGTGTCCACCGACAGTCTGTGGATAGCTTGTGTTTTATGCATTTTTGTCTGCCTTATTTATACATGTAAAGCTCTATCTGTATAAAGAGTTTGTGTTAGTGTGTGAGAGGTTTTGTGTCACAATGGTCCTGTTTTGGAGGATTTGATTAAAAAAAACCCCAAACATAATTAAAGTAACCAACGATGCTATACGTTGACATCGTTCTTTCACTGTAAGACTCAGCAGGCTATGGTGAATAATCACAGCGATTTTCAGGTCTCTGAAGAAATCTATCTAGGAGCTATAACAGTGTAAAGACACCCTGCAATTTTAAATGTGTGGCGACATTTGAATGAGGCGCATACCAGTAGAGGGAGCCAACGCACCACGAATGGTACACAGCCACAGATGCGCTTTGTGCAATGCAGGAGTGTCCGCAAAGAAATGTGGATAAGTTGTAAATCAAAAGTGTTGAGAATCTTGTAATTATAAAGTGAATTAGGGAAAGATATTAGATACTGCCACTGGCTAGATTTCAACCTGGGTCTCTCGCTCCCAAAGCGCGTTCTCTACGCCGCGGCCTGCCCTATAATATATTTCAAGCGTTTACCACAACTGAGAGGTGAAAACTGCCGTTTCTTCGTCTTACAAAATGTTCTGTAACTCCAAAAGTACACGGACTGTCGACATCATTCTTTCACTGTAACAATCAGCAGGCTTTAATAAAAAAGAGAAAAAAAAATCAAGGCGGTTGTCAGGTCTCTAAAGAAAAATACATCTAGGAGATATGAGGAGTTGACAACGCCTCTGTTACAGAATTTCAGCTGTCATTTTCACTCAAGTCTCCATAGACTTTGAATGTGGACATTTTTTAACTGTGTTGCTTCGAGGCCATTTGCGAGGAAACGGCAACTCCGACAATAATGACAGTGCCATTTTGTGAAAGGCAAGAAAAATACCTACATTTTGATGTATAATTTGTGTTAATGAAGGCAAAATTGAGCATTTGTTCGGACATGAAGAAGAGATTGAGAAAGCGACAATGCATGGTGTGTTTGGCGTCCATAGCAACCATAACAACCAATATTGATTGATGGAAGAGATTTTGAGACAGGGGTTAAAAAAAAAAAAAAGGCAGAGAGAGCCCATTCTGTAGGCTCGCCTGTAGGCTTCTAGCAAGCCTAGCAAGTGAATTTCAGAGCCAGGGATATTTTTTTTTTTTTTTTTTTTTTTTTTTTTTTTTGTCCCCAACATATGGTCCGCATGGGATTCGAACCACTGCCCTCTGTCCTCAATCTCTGCCATAGGGCCTGTCACGTTCCCATGAGCCACTCGGGCGGCCCGGAATGACAGGGCAAAAGTGCTATATTTAAAGTGCGCAGCCGCACCCCAATTTTCGGCTCTTTTTCATTAGCTGGACACCAGGCCTTATCTAATCAGCCGTTCCAACCACATCCCTGCCAATGTGTGCCTACTTCAAGCCGCATACAAGTGTAACGCTCACAATTTTCTGCTATCACTCTAAAAAGCAACTTAAGTGTTAGTGATGTCACACCTATGCACCACTGCCCTCTGTGGAGAATGGGAGAAATGTGCTTGCACCTCAACCTATGGACTCAGAGGACATTCAATCATCATCTTCCTCACTCAAGGTAACCTTATGGCTTGTAGGAACACTGCACATGTATGATAAGACTGTAGCCGTTCAACCGGCCCTTGTAAGGTTGCTGAAGACAGTGAACACCGTGGAATTCTCAGTATCACTGTGGTCCTGGGTTTTTCCACTGTCCTGCTAAGTGCCTATGTAATTGTAACCAACATAGGAGAGAGACGTAACATCGTGGAAGAGACATAAAGTGAGTAAAAACGATCTAAATGCATTTAGAATATATTTAGAACTACAAATTACACGTTTCTTAGCAATTATTGTTTTTTATGTCAAGCTTCAAGCTAGCTTCTTTATTGGGGCTTGGGACCAGCAAAAGTGACCCGAAATTTGGTCTTTAAGTCTGGTCATTAGCGTGTCTGGACCCAAACTACACTGCAGGTCCCAAAGTCAAATGATCACTGAGAGTTAAAAATCTGTCTGAAGTTAGAAGTTAGCAGAGAGTTAGCTCGCTAGTTTCCGTCTAAATATAATATACCAGGTTCTGACTGAGGGATTTCTAAAACAAATTAAAAGGCACAGCTCTGCTATCACTTCTGACATACATGAAGACAGGAAAGTAAGCAGCAGTGATGTTTGTAGGGTTACTGAAGTTTTGCTAGCTGGTATATAGTGATGTGATATGTGACTAGCGAAACAGCTATGTTAGCATAACATTAACACAGTGATGAAGGGGAACTTTTTTCCACTGGATAAGAGTTAAGGTGAGGGTTCCCGATGGTTAGGGACAAATGCAGTGGCATGGCAGGATGCTGTAAACGGACCAAACTTCAGTCAAGAGAACAACTGAGATAATCCATCCACATACAGGTTAGTCATTAATGTGCTGCTGCATTGCCTGGGCTATAGTTACATGGTAAGGTTTTAAAAACTGAGCTTTAAAATGAATAGTTGTAATAAAAACTGAGAGAGGCCGACAGTGATCGCTTACTTTTTGTAAGGGGCTTGTTGAGATTAAATAGAACAAGTTACAAAGCATTAAAACATGTTAAAAACACAACAGCCTTATTAAACGCAGAGTAGTTTGGGCCCAGAAGTAGGATTGATCACGTCATCACTTAAAGACCGGATAGACACATGGTGGAGTTACTCATGTTTACTGTTGTTGCCACTTTCTAAATGTAGCAGGATGAATATTATATGTACTGGTTGATCCCACTTTTAGTCAGGCGCATTTTGAGGAGAAATAACTTTGCTCGTTATCAAATTATCAGTATCTCTGGAAACATTTAATACATTGTGATGGTTTAAATGCTCAGTCGTTTTCTCTTGTAGAATTCATATTCATAATAATATTTAGACAGCGGCACTATAGGTGTTGGCAGTTTTTGCAGTTTTACAAGCCCTCACGGTAAAAATATGGAATTAAATGTCACTAATGGGCTCTTCTCAAAAAAATCAGCGTCTGTGTCACACTGATTTTGATTAACTGACTTATTTTATTGTAATCAAACCTATTTTGATATTGTTGTCTTGTTTTTCCTTTAGCGAGTTGGTTTCCTTCCAATTGTAGCAGTACCAGTACGTCTGCCAGCTCCAGGTAGAGCTCCAGTGACCAGGAAGACCTCAGCATTCACCAATTCCTGCTGAATTACCGCAAACAGAAAGAACTGACAGAGGGCATTGGAATAGAGGATGATTATAACACTGAAGACCAAGGTAATAGGTCTGTCTAAGGGCCAGTGGAATATAAGCTATATGTTGTAGTGGTGATTATTTTAGATTAGGGCTGCCACGATTAGTCGACTAGTCACGATTACGTCGACTATCAAAATCGTCGACGACTGATTTAATAGTCGACGCCTCGTTTGAAGCATCACAAAAGACGCAGGAATAAGTAGTAGGATTTAAGAGTGTAATAACGGACTGAAATAGAAGATGGCAGCACTGTATGTACAAGGATGCCAGCTGCCGTTAAACCCCAAAGAAGAAGAAGCTGTATCCAGAATTCATAGCGCAGCGCAGCTCAGTTTACAACAATGGCGGCAGCTAGTTAGTTTTAATATTACTCTTATTATTCTTTCTGGGTCACAAAATAAACGATTAAAATATTTTCAGGCGAGAATGTAGCTGTGTAAACCTCAAATATTTGCTCAGTTTATCAAGACACCACACGTTTTCGGAGACGTCTGTTACCCACTAGTTCGATAGCTAACTGGGGGCAAGGCTCACTAGGGCTGTATCCCAATTCAGGGTCTGCAGCCAAAGTACGCAGCCTCAACGATCCTCAAGGGCCGCGTACTTAAAGACTGCTAAGGCCGGAAGTGCGAGGCTTGTGAAATGGGACGGTCTAGCCCAGGTTTCCTAGCAACCATGATACTAACAGCTGGAAACGTTTCATACAGCTTTGTTTGACAGAAATGAAGGAGAAAATCTTTTGTTCATTTGTTTGTTTGTTTCTACATGAGCTTTGATCATTCTCTGTAAGATTAAGCTCAGCTATTGAACGGCGTATATTTTAAAGTAAAGGCTTTAAAACCAAGTTAGTACAAACGTCACTAATGTCACATAACTTTGCCGACATGTGGCCAACAGTAATGTTTTAATGTTCTTCGTTATTAAACATTTGCACATAAATAAGTGACATAATATTCAGTACTTAAAGTTTACTCTTCGGGCGCCCCTCATCCGCTGTTTTTTTCGGCAAAATTATCCACACCCACCGCCGTGCTATGCATTCTGGGATATGTTGGGCCAACGAAGTCTACACCGCCACGTCCTTAAAATTCAGGGAAATGAAGGACGCATTTGAGGGCCGCATTTCGAGCAGCCTTCGAATTGGGACAGCCTTCGTCGCGTCGCGGTGACATAATCGGCCTTAAAATGCGGCCTTTAAGGCTGCAGACCCTGAATTGGGATACAGCCTAGTAGTGATGTGCGATACCACTGATTTCCTTTCCGATCCAATACCAAGTAATATTCAGGGTGGTATCGACGATACTGATCCGATACCGATACTTTATACAAAAACGTATTTTATTTATTGTATCTCAAATTATAGCATCATAATGATTACAGGATATCAGATTACTTGTTCTTATCACTTAATAATGCAGAATTATCATGTAGAAATAAAAAAAACTGAAGTTGTGCGCTATTTGAACACCTTGCCTGCCTGCAGCACTAAAGGACTCCATGAGAGAGGTCTGTCTCGCCCTAGCAGCACCTGTCCCTCTCCTCCTCTTCAGTTCGTCTCAACATACGCGCCTCATATTCTGTGATATGATTTACTCTGAGGTGTTTGACAAGGTTAGTGATGTTGCCACAACCATACATGCCAACCCTCCCGATTTTTCCGGGAGAATCCCGGAGCCACCATTCTCCCAAATTTCCACCTGGACAACAAAATTGAAAAACCATATTGCAGAATTCATAGCACGGCCCAGCCAATTCCAGTTTACAACAATGGCGGCAGCAACTTAGTTTTAATATTACTCTTATTTCTCTTTCTGGGTCGCAAAAAACAAAAACAAAACTTTTAACATATTTTCAGGTGAGAATGTAGCTGTGTAAACTTCAAATATCTGAGCCGATCGACACATCGTCTTCAAACCCCCGCGATCTTTCACCACTCGGGTTAAACATGATATATAAGTCACTTTGATAACTTAAAAATGTTATTGTTTGGCTTTTTCAGTGTTTTATTTGTTCGTGAGTAAATCGGTTTGGCTGAGATTAAAGTTATTAGATTAGATTAAATTAAATTTAACTTTATTAATCCCTCGGGAGGGTTCCTCCGGGGTTTTCACACAGCTGAATAAACATCAAACAGAAAACTAATTAAACAAAGTGTGAGACGGTCGAGAGTTTACGCCAGCGCCCGGTTATATTTTAGATAGCAAGGAGCAGACGGCAGTTTCACTCCACCGAGGGAACTCATGACGTACTACCCGGCTTTCTTTAGACCGCGAAGGGCGGGTCCTCAGGTGGAAGCAGCCTCTGAATTTCGACACCCCCGCTGTTTCCGGGCCGGCTAATAATAACGGTGACATTTAACGTATTTTATCCGATAAATAAACCCTGTAAAATGTATTTATCACCCCCCCAACAGCTCTTTTGAATGTCTCCCTAATTCTGAGGTCTCAAGGTTGGGAAAGTATAGCCACCACACCTCACTGTTGGAGCACTTTTTTGCCACATGTATTGCAAACCATGTCTCAGCTGTTTGTGGAGGTAAAATACGTCTGCACAATTACGCTCAGCCATTGTTGTGAGTGCGCGCGCCAAGGGGCTGCGAGACATTTATACAGCCGTATTTCGCACATGACTATGAAAGGCGGAAGTAGTTCCTTTGAATGTAGACAATCCGAATGTTATAGTTTCTTTCCACTGTGTTGCTGTTAATGATAAACTACAAATTTACCCTAAATTACTAAAAAATATCGATATTTTAATGTGAGAATCGATTCTAGAACATAAATGACTGGTATCGGAGGAATCGATATTTCAGGATTGATCCGCACATCACTACAGCCTAGAGCCTGTGAGAACACCGGACTCCTGCAAATCGTTTTCAAACCCTTTCGCTACTCAGGTTAAACATGATATATAAGTCACTTAGATAACTTAAACATGTTATTGTTTGGCTTTTTTTGATAATTTTATTTATTCCTGAGTAAGTCGGTTTGGCTGAGATTAAAGTTATAGTTTTTACACAGCTGAATAAACGTCAAGCAGACAACTGATTATCAGAAGTGTGAGATGCTCGAGAATATACTCCAGTGTCCTGTTATATTTTAGATAGCAAGGAGCAGACGGCTGAGTTTATTAAACTTCACCGAAACAATCTGCAAATTTCATTAAAATTTAATAAACTATCATCTTGTCTTTATTTTTAGTTAGCACAGACCTTAAACACTTAAAGCTGTAAGCTAAAGATAGTTATATAAGAGCAGATGCTGCTGGTGGAATAAGCTGTACGTTTTACGTCCAATGGATGCATGATCTGATTAGTCGACTAATCGCAAAAATAATCGGTGACTAGTCGACTATCAAAATAATCGTTTGCGGCAGCCCTATTTTAGATTCAGAGTGTCGAGGAGATGGATCATTGTAATTAAGAGTCATAGAAATCTGAACCTCACTGCAAAACTGGCGGTCTAACTGTACATGTGCTCCATTGCAGAGGTCCTTCCCCTTGAGTGTGAGGATGTTGAAGATACTGGTAGTCCTGATGTGAAAGCAGAGCTTCCCTCCCACCTCAGCATCACTAAGGATGTTATGGAGCGCTGCATTCATCTGCTGTCTGATCCCAGCCTCAGGCTCCGACTCAAGGTACTGTATCAGTAGTTTTATGTAGAGTCAACTGTTGGACTAATAACAAAAATAATCATTCTTGTGAAGGTAGGACCGCCAGCGTTGGTACAATTCATCCTGTCAGAACTGTGTGGAGGACTGTTCAGTGGTGTAATGCTCATCAAGGAAAAACATTCAGTCTGGTCCAGGAGTGAAACAGAAATAAGTCTGTGCTGAAGTCGTGCCTGCTCAGGAGTTTGGGCTCTCAATGAAGACCTCAATAATTAGTTTCAGCTCACATATAATCAGGATCAAAACAGAGATAATTGTTAGGTGTGTTGTGTTTCTTTGTCCTTAGGTACTGGACGTGCTGGAGTTGTACGTTCAGGTGCTGAATGACAGGGAAAATGAACTGCTGCCTGTGGCTCATCACTGCTGGCCAGCACTCCTGCAGAGACTCACAGCTGATGACCCATTAGCAGTCCTCAGAGCCTTCAGGGTAAGTAAAACAAACCTCTCTTTTCATTACGTGAGTCAAAATTATTCAAGTCGTCTTTAGTTTTAAACTCTTAGTAGTAGTGATGGGCAGATGAAGCTTCATGAAGCACTGAAGCTTTTCATCCAATTGGTTCACCCCAGTGCAAAGCTTCTTGAAGCTTCATTTGCTCTAGTAGGACATCTACTGGATGTAAAAATAATAGTTGGCATGAATTTGAAGAGTGTGGCCTTTTGCACACAGCCTGTAAATGTCAACAACTAAAGGAGTGTGTAAAACATGTATATTGTAGTGATGGCAGCATACTGTGTATATTTATACTGGCAGTATGGAAAATGATCATTTGGAAATGCTTAAAATGGAAATGATCATTTACTGTGAGGTGAGGTGTGGTTGGGGTGTGGACAGTGGTTGTTCTTTTGTAACGTTGAGGTATGGACAGCTACACACTGAGGCTTTGAGCCTCAGTCCTGCATGTTGACATTTTATTCTGTAAAAACTAAATTTTCACTGCTTTTATGACCTTTTAGTGGGGAGAACATAGCTAGGATTTAATGATTTAACAAATCTTTTGAATCCTTTGTCCTCCACAATGCTAACTGGCTGGGAGTCCTCAATCACCATGCTAACCAGGTCTTCATCTATTGGAGATTGTTCTCCTGAGGAAAGACAATAAAGATAAAGCAGAAATATAAATATCACACACGTAACTTATTACAGTTGTATAATATTGTTATATCATTTAGTAACATTACTGCATCCTATATTATCATTGCATTTGATGGCTCACCTGGTCTTGCTCCACAATCGGTGTTCCCCTTATTCTCATTCAAAGCTCTGTAGTGCCTAAGCATGGATGAGGTGTTGTTGTTATAGCCCAGCTCCCTGGCACATAGCAAACACTTCACCTTGTACAAAAGTACAGACAGCTTAACATAAATTGTATTGCACCATCAGTATTATGAAAATACATCTTCTGTGTAAATTTACATACCTTGTTGGGAGATATAAGATCAAAATGTTCCCACACAGCGGAGGACATCCTCCTCTTCTTAGCTGGCTCCATTCTCTCCTGACTTTCTCTCTAAACCTCCAAACTCTCACTAACCGCAACTCTCCATCAAACACCCACATTTTGAATGAAGTCTGAGGGGTTTATATCGCTGTCATAGCTCGCGGCAAAGTTCGAACCACTTCATGAACCAGTCACGTGGTACAGCCGGGCAGCGAGGCTTCGGACGTCATCATTTTCAGCTCCTCCCATAAATGAAGCAAGCCTCGATACGCGCATCGCGGAAACGCCCCCTCCATTACTCGACACAAGCTTCGAAGCCTCGATACAGAACGTCACATCACTACTTAGTAGTCAAAAAATGAAAGATGGTGCCCAACAACAGGCTTATTTCATTCAGAAATAGTTCTGTTATTTTCTTTTTTGGGTTGTAATGTGAAGACTCTTTAAACTAACATTTCTTCTATCAGCACAGAAAGATCACTGTGTGGATGCCTTCTTAGAGGCTGCTTTTCAAACTGTCTCAGAGAATCACAAAGTAGGACTTTGTGATAAATGAAGCTGATAGTTTTTTGTGATCTTTGGTGCAAGTGTCAGCTGATTCAACTTGTCGGTATAAATTAGGCTACTCGTCAGCTCCTGTCATCAGCTGGAATATTTTTAAATTCGTTATTCATATTTTCATTGATGAACTGACAAATACAGACACGTTAAGTCTGTAAACAGTCATTTATTCACTCAGAGCTGCTGCTGGGAAATTGTTTCATCAGCTTTTGGATATATACGAGTTTTGTAAATACTACAATTCATCCAGGAGTATACAACGGTAAAGTTTTATTGAATTTTGACAGCTTGCTGCTTTTGTACATTACATTTTTGTACATTACATGCCAGGTGCTGTTTGTGCTGGGTGAAAGATGTGGGGACTTTGTGAGGAGAACTGTACCTGGGCTCTGGCAATGATCAAAGCAGCCACAACATGGACAAATCAGAGCAAGACAACTATTCTTAGTATGACGCCTCACTTTATGGAGATTGGTGCAACAAGAAGCCCATTTATGTAAAACCACATTGAAGATAGATTACCTCTTATCTTATCTTATCTTATCTTATCAAAGCCTATTTGATTACACGGCTGTAACTTTCTTGTAGGAATAAACTTAATGGTTCTTCTTAAATGAATGAGTTATAGTCAGCTTTCTTCCTGTGATTGAGACAACAGCAATACAAGTTTGTGTCTGTACATTAGTACAGAGATGAAGACGTCTCTATACTAAGGTTAACAATTAGGTTGTTAGCCTGATTTGACATTAAAGCTGTGTGTGGGGAGATGCGTCGTCAGAAAAAGCCAAAAAAGTCAAAGAACTCATTGAAACTCTTTCACCACCAGGTGGAAGTCTTGTATAACAATGAAAATCAACCATTGGTATCATCGTCAGGGCATCTCGGTTTTATTATAAAAACCTTAAACTGTGAAACAGTTTGACATCCTAAATGCATGACGGTGATGTTATTACTAAAAATGCCTCTTCACTGTGGCAGCTCTGTCATTCAACATATGTTAACCATGACTTTGATGATACGGACCACAGCCAGCTGTGCCAGCAGGATGCTGCTCAGGTCCAAACTGCACACACAGCTACGACTGCAAGCAGCTCTTCTTATACCCAACTGAGAAACGTGATTGTTCAATCAGCGAATCATGAGGTGACAGCGAAGGAGGCCGTTTAATTGATAAGATCAGAGAAGTTGTTGTTGTTGTTTTTGTTTACTTTGTGCTCAACATACTCCCATTAGCATGTTGAAAATATTCAAGTGGCCTGCGGGCTTCTGCCATTACATTCCCAATTATGCAATTATGAGCTGCTTGTGTAATTTTTGGTCACCTGCGCAGTGTATTAACACAACTGATCTGAAATCACAGAAAAACAAAAAATCCGAGTAGTAGTTAGTAGTACCACAGACACGTTTAGTGAATTATTTTCATAACTTGAAATGCAAATATAAATTGTAAATTTTGAAAACTTGTGCACAAACTTTGTAAACAATAAAGTTATATACAACTATTTATCTAAAAATGCAGCCAGTGCATGTAGTGGGTTTTTTTTTGGACAACCATTAAAAAGTACTACGATAGCTAAAATGAGAGAACGATCAAGTGTCACAATAAGATGCCACACAAATTATTTGTGCCTGTAAAAAAATAAAAAAATAAAAAAATAGTTTGTCCGCCACAAGACAGAAGAGAACTCCACAGGGATCCAGTTTTCCATTTGGAGACAGTGTTTACATTGCAATCTGCTTTTGTGACATTCATTAGTACCCTCACCGACACTCAAAACAAAGCAACGAACACACAACACACTAACTATAAGCTCCACGCTAAACGTCACAAATCTTTCACATCTCAAAACTCTCTCTCGCTGCCATCACTCCCAAAACTTTCCCCTCTTCCTAAACAACCAAATCTCACGTGTTGCCATTTTTTTTATTGCTCAACATGGTACATTTTTCCACCAATAGGAAAGAGGTGGCTTTTTTTTTCTTTCTTTACTGTTTCAAGTAATAATTTTACACAGGTAAAACCATTACTTGAAAATGATTACAAACACTGATGTGAAGCTATTGGATGCCTGACAAAGGATAAATGGGGACAAAATACAACACGTGGAAATAAAGACAGAGCCTTTAATGGTAAAATAATGTCTTATCACATTATAATTAAAAATCAGAATAATCAAATAAGTACAGTTGAAGATCACATGAAGTTGTCTAAGGAGCTTTGAAAAGAAAGCAACTAGACTTTGAATAGTGGGTTAAAGACCCTCTTAAGTGACCATCCCCACTAGCGTTTAAATACACGGGACTCTGCACCATTTGGTCTTAGAAGAGAAGAAGCCTTCTGAACCAGGTGAAACATAGAGGAGTCCAGTTGTTGTTTTTTTCATGCTCTTAGACTACTGTGACCTGGATGACTGAGAACCTACACTGACATTACATGAAGCTGTTTGCTGATTACATAAATTTTAGTTTTAACCTTTCGGGCCCTACATGGTCAGGCTCCTCAGTATATGTCTGACCTGCTGAAACCTCATTCATCTTCCCGAGCTCTAAGGTCATCAGGTCAGAGTCTGCTAGCTCGTGGTGATCGGGCCTTTCAGGCAGTGGCACCACGGTTGTGGAATTCTCTTCCACTGTTTTTACACTGCACTGACTCCATTGTTTCTTTTAAAAAGCAGCTAAAGACATTTTTATATACACAAGTTGTCAACTAATTAGTTGTTTTTATGTTGTTTTACATTGTTATTTCTTATATTTTCATTCTTATTCATTTTCATTCTCTGTATTGTGAATCACTTTGTGATTTTTATCTGTGAAGCATGCTATATAAATAGATTTTACTTTACTTTTACTTACTTACTTTGCCTTTGTACATAAAAAAACAAACAAACATCCAAACTCTTGCTAACGATAACCATCTTAGCTCTTATCTCCTCACTTTCAATTTTTGACAATTGTTTTGCTTACACCGAAGTGTTGTATGTAATATAGAATATATACAATACCAGTTATTGAACATGAACTGTTGTGCACATCAATTCATGACACAACAGAATGACAGCAGGAAGCCACATACCAGTTACAATACCAGTTATTGAACATTACAGAACATTACAGAGTAATAAAATCCAGCCTCCAATAAACAGATTATCACAGTATGTTGCTTTAATACCTAATACTCCTCTAAACCTGGCTTTTTAGGACATGTCTTCCATCACCCTAACAATGATTATGTGTAATATGACAGAGGGCTGTCATACAGTCCAGTACAGCGATCAAGAAAGGTAACAAATATGTAGTGTTGTCTCCCTCTAGTGGCAGGAAATAAGTCTTAAAATAGCATGTGCCAAGACCTTTTTGTTTTTTTCCTCTTAGTCTTCATAGGATTAGTTTGCAAGTTCACTGTTTAAGTTTTTATTGTGAAAATGAG